GACATTTAAATTGAAATACATAGCTCATAAAATAACAAACAACATAACATGATAACAAAACATGATAAACAATAACACAAATTATATAAATTTAAATCATCATGAACCGCTTATTTAAATTCTCATGCCGTACTTAATAGTCTCTGTTGTCATAATTGTTGTCGTTTGGAGATTCCGGGACATAAACATCTTCATCGGTTCCTCCACTTCCCCCTGCACTAAAATTTAAATTTCTAGCAGCTCTTGACCTGTTTCCATTGTCTATGATTTCTTGTTTCTTATCACTCCAGATAATAATGGTGAATGAGATTTTTTTATGATTTCAAATTCATTTATGTTGTAATATTTTATTTATGCAATAATTTATGAGATTATTGTTTATGTATGATTTTATTATATTTAAAATAATTTGAGTTCATGTTATTTCATGTTTAGACAATTTTTTAAAATTAATAACATAATTTTTAAATTATTTAGTTAAGAAAATTTATTACTTAGCATTGGATCTATAATTAATTTAGGAAATAAAATATTATAAAATTACGATTAACATTAGATTTATAGTTTTGGGGCATATATGGTGAAATTTCATTGGAGACCAAACCAAATCCCTTTTCGTATAAGTGTTGAAATGGTGAAATATTATTATTTTAATGTTTGGTTTAAATTTTGGTGATATCCATTGGAGACCAAAACCACCATTTTTCCACTAAAAATGGTGGAAGAGTAAAATGGTGTGCTAACGGTGGGAGACGAACCCATTTTTTCACCACCATAAATGGAATTTGGTGAAAAAATGGTGAGACCGGTCTTAGATGCTCTAATCATTCACTCAATCTGATAACTAACTTAAAATATTATTTTAAAAAAGAAATGGAAAATAAAACAATCAATTGTTTGAATTCAAAGACATTGAATCATAATGAATAATTAGATAGAAGCAAAAGCTTATGACAAATTGAGAAGACTTTAATTTTGAGACTTGTATTAATAATATACGAAAGAGACCACATAGTATCTTACAAGAAATTAAAGCTCCATCCACTACTCTTGAATAAAGAAAATGTTATCCTATGACCAAGTCCTAATTATATATATTTCTTATATTTCAATTTCACCTATTTATACGAAAAGTCGAAATATCTTGTTTCTAGGGCCCACATTCCCCTGGCCCGACAAATTTGATGGAAAATGTAAATCAATGCGACCCAACGGCTCATTGGAGAATAATTTTAATCATTAAATAAATAGGATGTATGTAAACTGATCAATTTCTTGGACATGTACTTGGTTTTTTAGTTCAACAAATCGGACAAAATAAAATCCCTTCTCAAGTCTTTTTCTCCTTTTATTTTTTACATATTTTTTAAATTTCAAATTAATCATGTACTATTCCAATAT